AACAGTTTAATACATTTATTATTATAAAACTTATAACCAGTACTAGATGTTCTAATAACGATATGGAACACTTTAATAACAGTTACTGCTATTATTTCGTAAAGGGTATAAAAAACGTTGTATACTAGTTATACAATAATTTAATAAAGAATAAGGTTTATAGTCACTATACAACTGTGCTAGCAATACGCGTTTTATATCCAATATTCACCTGTTTAACTGTCACATATAGTATACAATGGTCTTATAATGGTATATAGAATTCTAATAAAGAATAAAACGCATTTCTTTCAGTGTATAGTGATAAATTCAGCTTGCCGAAACAAAAAGTCGCGTCCAACTCTATATTTCCTGGCCTAAATATCGCAATTTCTAGTTCCTCTTATCCAGCTAACATTTTTGAAAAAAAATTGTTCTCTAGTTTTATAACCGTAAAAAAATGGAAGTTAGATAATTACATAGATACACAAAATAGAAAAAGTGGGTTGACCTGGGGACTCCACTAGGCCATCTACATGTATTTTGACACGCTTAATACGAATCCATTGTTAGTTTTATTCCAGCACATACAGAATTAGAGTAAATCTCTAAAAATAGCAGAAAATCCGGGAAAATCGTGGAGGCTTCAGCAATGTTTAGAAAGAACAAAAATATTTGGACCGGATAAGGCCTAATCCTATGTATTTTAGAACAACATTTTAATGTATTTTCGTGGTCCTTCGTAATCGAGTTATTTGAGAAAAATTACTGGAAAAAACGTAAAATCACTAGAAAATGACATATCGGAATTTGCACTGAATGAAGACATTTCCAGTGTATTTTGACGCGCTGGATACGAATCTGACACTGATTAGGCTTTCTGGCTGCTTCTCTATAATTATTTTGAAAAGCCCGAAATGATTGAAACCCCAGTTTGATCGTTTAAAATAGATCGAAAATACTATACGTCAGTGTTTCTTTAGTGATACGAGCAAGTAGACCAGAAGTGATTGATGCAAAAATGATGTTCATGTTAAAGTCGAGTCTGAAGAAGAGGAACTGGGAAACAGACACAATGTTGGAGCGAAAAGAGAAGGGAATGGAACTGAAACAGAAGGAAGAAAGGTCGAATACGTACCAGCACGTGAAACAAAACGTCAAGATCTATTTAATCAGGAAGAGTTGAATAATCCGATTAGAAAAATAGGGCTTTCAAAAGATGCGGAACTAAAGAGTAGCACCAAGTAGAACGAAATCAACTCTACAGGGATGGAGAAAAGGAGTTTTGAAAGTTCTTCAAGAGAGACCACGATGGCTTTTTGGTGTACTGTGTTCATGGTCTGGTAAATGAATTGGAACATAACGTTTACAAATCCGTGGGGTGAAAATTGTTCATAGACTCTTAGAAACATAGTTTGAAGGCGGAAATAAATACTCCTGTATTCTCATTCCATACTTAACCACATTAAAAAAAGTTATGAAAAAACGAGATGAGGTCTGCAAAAAATTAAATAGCATCATTGGCAAGATTTTGGTGATTTCAAAGTCATATTAATCATTGTGGGGCGGCAATCAAAATTTACGACGTTTCCTTGCTTCTGTCTATGACATAGTCGAAACCGAAACAATCAAAATAAAGTGAAATAACGGCCAAAAAGAGGAGCGCTCGTTCCAGGAAGTCACAAGTTATAGAACAACCCTTCCAAAATACTGGTTCCTTAGTCCCATATAAAAATATTTAAATAATTAACTAGTCAGTTTCCCAATAAATTATGCAAAATTAAAAGAAGCCATCTTCGATGGACCTCAATCTCATTTCATAACAACAGGGGCAGATATTAAGAGAGCAGCGTGGTTCATCGTTNATGATAATGATAATGATAATGATAATGATAATGATAATGATAATAATAATAATAATAATAATAATGATGATAATGATAATGATAATTTATTTTCCCCCCAGACATTATCTAAAAAACATGTATAGGAATAGTCAAACTTACAAACACAAACATTAATTATATAGAAAGAGAATTCTAATACGAAATGCAAACATTCATTTATTAAATATTGTTTTAATTTTGTTGTCTCACTATTCATACTTTTTACTTCCACAGGTAAACAATTGAATATTTTAGACCCTAGAAAGTTTATAGAATGAGTAGTTAAAAAACGTGCAAATGGTACATGAAAATTATGTTTCTGTTTGGTATTGACACTGTGATACTGTGTTATTTATCACAAATTTGCCGTTGTGTTTGAATACGCACCTACATATTTTAAAAATATAAATACCTGGCAAAGTGATAATTCTATACTGCTTAAATATATTTCTACAAGAATAAGTACTTGAAACACCAAACATACATCTTGAAACACGTTTTTGCACAATAAAAATGTGGGACGAAAGAGTTGAATTACCCCAGAAACAAACACCATACCTCAATCGAGATTCAACTTGGGCATAGCATAAACAGAGGAGTTGATCGGTACTGAGGACTGTTCTTTCGAAATAAATAAGTTATTGAACACAACTTTGGTATATTTTTACAGTTACATTTCCAGTTGATTTGTGTGCACATTTAGACATAAAAATTGTACGTTCACAGTATCAGTATGTAGAGAAGTACTATTAATATTCAAATTTAATGTTCCGCAGTTTTTATTTTGAATAATGTAAAATTGAAGAGCTTGAGTTTTTTAAATATCAAAATGTAATGAATTTTGGGCAAATCAGCTACAAGTTATTCAGTAAATATCATATTCAAGTTTTAAGGCTTGATTTGACTTATTAAATATTACTAAAAACGTATCATCAGCGTACATAGTAAAGTGAGTATTAGGTGAGAGAGTATCGATATCATTTGTATATAGTAAAAGTAATACAGGACCTAAAACAGATCCCTGTGGTACACCCAACGCTAGTAAAGAGCATTCCGAGTTATATTTACCACAAACTCAATAAAAGTAATTACCTAATTTAATGCGGGTCCTAGAATAACGTAGTTATTTAATTTCGATGTTA